TATTTAAACTAACAAGAAAACCATACAACTATCACATGATACACAGCTTGTGAAAATATCAAATAGTAGTACCTCATTTTTGGCAGTTTTCTGTTCTTAAAAAAGAACAGGAATATGTGTATGTATATGTAAATATACATATACTGTATGATTAAGCCATTCTACTCCTGCCTCAGCTTCCCAAGTGCTGGGATTACACCCATGCAGCACCACATTCAGCAACTACTGAACTAATAACATAGCTGAATTTTAAAATAATGAATAAAAAGACAAATAAGAATGAGAAATGTATGGTTCAATTTATGTAAAAATCCTGAAATGCAAACTAATCTACAGTGACATACAGAATATCGGTCATCTAGAAGGGATGAGAGGGAAGACAAAAAGGCACAAGGAAACTTTTGGGAGCATTAAATATGTTCACTATCTTGATGTAACCATGTGTATGTGTGCATGTACATGTGACAAAAGTCATAAAATAAACACTTTAAGTATGTGTAGTTTGTTCTATGTCAGTTATAACCTCAATAAAGCTGCTAAAATGGAAATAAATGTGACAAAAATAGTGAAATGAGCATTTTAAATATGTGTAGTTTGTTCTATGTCACTTATAACCTCACTAAAGCTGCTAAAATAGAAATAAAAATTTAAGAACTATTACCAAAATATAGTAAATTTAAGGCCATAAAATAAACCTAACAAATTAAAAAGGAGTGAAACCACATCAAGTCTGGTCTCAGACAATAACATAATTAAATAGAAATCGTTGACAAAAGTTTCTGGAAAACCTTTAAACATCTGGAGATTAAACAATGTATTTCTTAATGTGCAAGTCAACCAGGGAAAGTTAGGAACATTTTGAACTGAGAAACAACAAAAATGCAATATATAAAGATTGGTATTAAGATGCCAATTCTTCCTAAATTGACCTACAAGTTGAATGTAATCTCCAACTAAAATCTTGGCAATTTAGCTGGGTGCAGTGGTGCAACCTGTAATCCCAGCATTCTGGTAGGCTGAGGAAGGAGGATCACAAGTTTGAACTAATCTGGTGCACTTAGTGAGATACTCTATCTCCAAGTAAAAACCAAAGGAGGGTGGGGAGCTGTAGTTCAAAACAAAGGCCCTAGGTTCAAGCCCCAGTACCACAGAAAAAAGAAAAGAAAAATTTTCAAAATTTTGTGGATATTAACAAGCTGATTTTAAAATTTACATGGAAAGGCAAGGAACTCAATAATTAAAACAATCTTCAAAGGAAAAAAAATTTGTAAGACTCACCTACCTGATTTGAAGACTTATTATAAAGCTATGGTAAATAAAAGTGTGATATTAAGATCAAGACAGACATACAATGAATATTACATAGTAGAGTCCAGAACAGTCCCACCCAAATATGATCAATTAATTTTTAACAATACGCAATGGAAATTAAACAGAAAAATGTACTTTTCAAAAAATAGTGCTAGAAAATCTAAAGGATTATATACAAAAAAGATGAACTTTGACCTATCACATCTATACAAAAATGGACTTAAAACGTATTACAGGTCTAAATGTTAAGTGGAGAAAAGACCAAAAGGGAAAATCTTCATGACTTTATGAAATTCTTAAATATGACATTCAAAGAACATTTTTTTTTTTATGGTAAGCTGGACTTTAAAAACTTTAGCTCTGCCAAAGATATTAAGAGAACACAAAGGAGAGAAGCTACAGACTACAAAAATTATACTTCTTCCATTTGACAAGGAATTTTTAGCTGTGTTGTGGTTTTGTTTTTAAGACAGGGTCTTCACTATGTAGTTCAGACTGCCCTGGAACTCACTATGTAGCCTAGGTCGGCCTTTAACTTGTGTTTAGTACTCCTGTCTCAGCCTCCTGAGTGCTGGGATTATAAACCTGCACCACCACTCCTGGCTTGGTTGTGATTATATTAAAAGCTCTTAAAATTCAGCAAGAAGAAATAATTTTTGAATAGGCAAAACATCACAACATTTTGTTTTACAGTGCTGAAGATGAATTCATGCATATGAGATCCTCCTTTGGTTCTTACGTGCACTGGATGCAATTTTAACTCTGTAAGAGGATTTTATAGCTCCAATGAGAAGAAAAGAGGTTCACTTGTTTGCAATCAGGTAGAGATTTAGTCTTGTAAAATACTAGTACCTCCAAAGCAAAGATTCTTGGTAAGGAGTATCTCCACAGAACTCTGTGAGCTTATGAATGTAGGTGGAATTAAAATTCACCTTCATTTTTCAACTGTTAGCTCTAATGTACTATATTTCCTTAGGATGTGAATAAGTGTAATGAACTGCAGTGACTGAAGAAGACATGTGCCTTTACCACTCATAGAAAACAGATTCTTGAGTCTGCTATCTTATTTTGTGTGCATTAATTTTAATAAACAAACAGATGATTTTTTTTTTTTTAAATACTGAGAATCAAACTCAGGAACTTGTGCTTGCCAGGCAGGCATAGTGCCACTAAGCTGTATCCCCAACCCCCAAACACAGATTTATAAATCACACATCTGAAATTTTCAGTATTTGGTGAAGAATACTTTATATATAATTGATTTCCTCTGTAACCTTGTGTATTTTATACACTGAAAATTCATTAAATAATTTAAAATATATATAAAAATTATTCTAAAATAGTTTTCATAAGCTAGACTACCAAAATCAATGCAACAAATAAAAAGGTAAAAAAATTCCAGCTCTGAATTCTTCTGCCTGTCTTTAGAACTCCCCTTTCAGTCGGTGCATGCCTGTAATCCCAGCATCCTGGGAGGCTGAAGTGGGAGCAAGCACGCTATGGGGAGCTGAGACGTTGTGAGACCTTGTCTCAAAATAAAAAATAAAAAGAGGACTGGGGATCTGACTGCAAGAGCCTTGGGTTCAGTCTGCAGTACTGCAGACAAAAAAAAAGTTGCTTTTTTTTTGGGACCCCTAATACCTTTTATACACCCATAAAGTATCATCCTTCACAGCTACATAACAGCTTACACATAACAGGAAATGCACAGCCTTTTTTCCTAAGCAGTAGTTATATTTCTTCATGTTCTCAAATGGTAAAGTCCATATAAAATTAAATGTACAAGTAAATGCTGCATCCAATCATATATACTTAGACCTAATTATCATAGTGCCAAGTGAAATGGGCGTGCTAGAAGTACAGATGGAATGAGCCAAAAAACTCAACCTGTCTTACATATCAAATTAGTGAAAGTATCTCAACAAAGGTTTTAAATTGAAAGGGATGTGTGGAGAAGTGCAAGATATTTATCTGTTTCCTCAAGTCACTTTTATATACATCTCAAGATCCTGTGTTCCTTATTTTCAAAGTAAAGACACAGAGGATCTCAAAACAATACACAAAAAGCTGGATTTCTAAGATCAATTAGGTATTAAAGCCCTCAGGTTCTCTGCATTAAATAATAGCAATTTTGTCAACTTCAGTGAGATAAAGCAGTACTTCAACAATGGGAACACCTTAAACAGTAAAAGGGAATTCAAACTAAAGGTCAGCAACCAGCTACGGAGCCAAAGACCTCTAGAGACAAGGAAAAGAAAAAAAGCTTTCTACAATCTAGAAGTGATCTGATGACAACCATGAAAAAAAGATATATTAGAAAAAAGAAAATATTCTGGATATTAAGTATTACAAAAATAATTGTAAGACATTATTTCCTTCATAGCATATCAATAAAAAGTATGCGCTAAAATAATCTATTGTATGGCTCCCATTTGCTTACTATTTGGTGATGAAAGACTGCAATACAATTTCACTCAATTTCTTTTTTGTTTTTTTTTCGTACCAGGGATTGAACTCACGGCCTTGCGCTTGCCAGGCTGGCACTTCTACCACTGAGCTAAATCCTCAGCCCAAATCACTGAATTTCAACTTAAAAGTATTTCATTTTTATGTGTAAACACCATTTTAAAAACAATTTTAACAAGCCAAAAGCAGTGACATATGTCTCCAATTCTAGGTATTGTATTTGGGAGGGTAAGTCAGGAGATTTCAAGTTCAAGGCCAGGCAGAGCAACTTAGTGAGATACTGGGCCAAAAAATTAAAAAAGATTAGGGGTATAACTCAATGGTGGAGAGTGGAGGGCAGACACAAGACCCTGGGTCAATCCTCAGTACTAAAAAAAAAAAATAATAATGCATTTAGTCTACACCAAGTTACCATATCTCTATCAACATTTTGAGGGGTTTTTTTATAAGCAGTCAAAATTATGACTTTAATATTTCTGATTAGAAAAGTCTGTGTTCCATGTATTCATTATAAAAAGCTTATACAAAAAGCAAAAGAAGATTTTCTACAGTGTTATTAACTGACAAATAATCACTGTTTCTTTTCCATGGGTACTAACTTATTGGTAATAATGCTAATTATAAATATTTACTAATCACTACCTCTAGCTATCCAGCTAAACGCTTTACAAATATTTTACAATCCCTTCCAAGTAGCAGGTGAGCATTACTATTTTATAGTTGCATCAGCCAGGGTTTAGAGAGGCTAGCAAAGATATGTGAGACAATGGAAAAATGGTAGCGCTGAACTCACGGAATCACTACGTTCCATCATTATTAGTACATACACAGACAATGCTGTGTTTGTCTTGTTACTCCTAATTTCTTATGCTCTATAATTTTTATATGGCTATCTATAATATTTAGATATATAACATTTACTGCGTCACTCCTTCGAGATCAGTATTTCTGAATAGTATACAGAATAATGTAGCTTTGGGTTGTTTTGTTTTGAGACAAGTTCTTGTTTTGTAGTTCAGGCTGGCCTTGAACTCACTATGTAGCCCAGGCTGGCCTCCGACTGAAGCAATTCTCCTGCCTCAGGCTCCTGGGTGCCTGGATTGCAAGTGGGTCCCACCATGCCAGCCACAATAATGCAGTTTATTCAAAACAAAAGTTAACACTACTTAAATGCACAATTTAACCACTTCTAAATTTAAATTAAAATATATAATTCAACTTACTCTTTTACTGAGGCAAATAACTGGCCACATACTGCAACCTAAAGTGCAGCAGCAACAAAGGCAGCCACAAAGCAGCCAACGGACATTAACAGGAAGGCTCTTCTTAAGACAACTATTAACTCTGTTGATGCTGGCCTTAAATTCTTCAGGCGCTACCTGCCGAAAAAGTTCAAAAAATAGTATGTCAATAAACAAGTTTCAGTAGTATACATCCTTTCTGAATTGCTAGCAGATTTTAAAACAAACAAACAATAAATAACTGAAGCACTCACTTTTCCAGTTAATGAAGAAGGAAATTCTGATTCAAATTTGTTGCTCAATCCAAATCTATTTTTCAAAAAATAAGAATATGTTATTATGTATCACTGTTGTTAACAAAATTATACCATTTAACTTAAGGTCAAGTAAACAATGTATATTCATATACAAAGGAAGGCTGTGATACAAAGTCTAAGACACAAAATCATTATAAGCCATTATGAAATCTAACAAGCAATTATTTTAGCAGTTGAATCCACTTTCCTGTAACATTATAAAGCTATATGTTAACTAATCAGAAACACATAAATAAAAAATCAGACACTTCCTTTGACTTGAGCTTCCACCTATAATTTCAAAGCACATTTTTTCATTTTTTTTTTCTGGCTTCTATAACTCTTTCTTTTCCCTGAGTCTGGGTCCACAGTTTGGTATACTTTAAAGAGGCAGAAAAGAGTGAAAGGGAAGGCCAGGGATTCAGCTCAGCCGTTCAAGCACTTCACTGGTAAGTGTGAGGTCCTAAGTTTGATCCTTGGTACCACAAAAAAAAAAAAAAAAAAAAAGCTACTGGAAGAGTGAAAGGTAAACAATGTACATTACTTTAATACATGGGATAGCAAATTTCTTAGCTTGGAATGTTACTGGTGGAGATAAGCAAGGGATGTTAAGTTAGAAGTTACCCTGGATAAACACAAATAATGAGAAGGCAAAATGTAGTGAAGAGTGCAGAAGTAGAAAGAAAGAAGGAAAAGTATAAACCAAAAAAGTGGAGACTGACAAAGTAGAAAGAATCGTGTTGATACCTTTCAATACCTATTTGACTATTATAGATTAGATGGCATAAAAGAAAATGTAGATATCTACTATATCTATATCTATTCTTCTTTCCTAAATGATTTTTCTTGAATCATGGTTGAAATACTGTATGGCTTTAGAATTGATAAAACTTTTTTCTCATATAATAAACTTAGTCCCCTTTGCTCTTATCTATTAGAAATCTAGTACTTAGAGAAAAGTGAATTCATTCAAATCACAAATACTATGGACCGTCTCTGAAACATGTTTTTTATTTTTAAGAAATAAAGTACACAGCCAAGCAAGGCAGTGTAAAACAGTAATCCCAGTACCTCTCAGGTCTGATGCTAACCTGGGTTATGTAAAGAGACCCTCTCTCAAAAGAATCAAAAATAACAATACTAATAATGTACAAAGTTATTTTATTTTATATAATGAGATAATTTTTACTAGGCAAAACTTTGAAGGAGGTGTGCAACTTGACATGGAGGTCTAAATGGAGCCTTAAACAGACTGTTGGACTCACATACTTCCATTTCATTGTATCCTCATTCCTATAATCCGCAGCCATAATTGAAAGGATAAACCACTCCAATCTGCGATCCTGAATTTCCATCTTCATCCAGTATGCTCCCCTTCCTCCACATATGCTCCCCTTTAAAGTACCCCCAACAGGTTGATCTGCTGCTACCAGGCAATCGTATCTTCACTTTAAAAAAACCAGAAACAAACCAAAACCAAAACCAACAACAACAACAAAACCCTTAACTAAAAATCCTATTGAGATGCCTTTTTAGAAATTCTCTTATCTATTCTGAGAAAATTCACTTTCATCCAATTCACAAATCCATTCACTGTAATATACTCAATATTCTATTATCTCTAAAATTTTACACTTATAAAATTCTCTGACCACTACCTTAATCATTTCATTTCTTCCATCCTTACAAAATTCCTTAGTTTCTGGTTTTCGCTCACTGCTTCCCACATCTCTTGGCTGCAGCCTTTAACTCTACTTCCTTCTTTATCTGCCAGAACTACGTAATTCATTAAAAAAAAAAAAAGACACGGTCTCCACTAAGTTGCCCAGGCTAGCCATATCATCCTCCTGCTTCAGCATCGCAAAAAGCTGGGTTACAGACACGGCAGCCACGCCCAGACATTGTCAATCATTTTAACCATATGCAGCAACCATCAGTACAATGTGCTTAGACACACCAGGAGCAATTAAACTGTTTACTTTTCTCGCTTCATTCCTTCTGGCTGAAGCTACTAGGGAAAAAAAAAAAATCACATACTATTTTACCTTCAATTATTACCAAAGCAATCTTCATGTATTTCCTAATCGGATTACCTTTTCCAAGCTCCAGTTGTTGCCCTTCTCTTTATGTGCTCAACTTTTTTTTTCAAAACTTACATCCTTTTTTTTTTTTGCAAATAACCACAGCTAGTAAGTCCAAGAGAAAGAAGTTCATTGAACAAACTGCTTTACCTCGCCTCCCTTTGGTTTTCATCTTTCTGGGGTCTGTACCTTGTTTCTTAGTGAACGAGCACTTCCACTTGCTCCCCACTGCATCGCCTTTAGTTTCCTGCGACCCACTATATTTCTCCCTCTCTACCTACAAACCCACATAACTCCTCCCAGGCTGAATGTTTTATATGTGTTTTCTTCTCCCTCAGTGTATGATGGCATTCATCTCTCTTCCTGCTTCAGTGTCCTGGAAGAGTTCTTTACATTCGGTATCTTTACCTCGGCTCCCATTCATTATTCAAACACTACAATCCAGGCTTTCTTCTACACTATTTCACTGAAGAAACTGCCCCATCGGAGCTGCTGAAAACAACTCTTTTCAGCAAGTCCTCTTTCACATAGTATGCTTTCTCCTAGCAAAGAGCCAGAGCATCAGAATGTCTTACTTGGCACGGGCAACAGCAAATACTTCCTTTGCTATGTCTTTCATCTCTGCCAAAGCTTTTTCTTTTTCTCTTTCTCTTTTTAAATCTAGGTCAGCCAAACAACAAGTATCAGGTAGAGTTTTGGCAAGACTATCTTACTAAATGGATAGGAAAAGCCAATATAAGTGCAAAAAGCAAATATAATTGCAAAATGTCACCTTTAATTTTGTTTAACTTTCAGTACTGGACTTGAACTTAGGGCCTAGCACAGGCTAAGGTCTAAGCAAACAATCAGTGAACTATTTCAAGTTTCTTTTTATTCTGAGACAGGGTCTCACCAAGTTGCCCAAGAGAGCTGGAACCTACACTAGTCTTATCTCAGCCTCCAAGCAGCGGGGATAATGGGTGTCTCCCATTTTAGGGTGTTGCTTTGATATAAATACTCAGTTCTGATACTACCTTACTTCTCTGTCTCCCACTCCCATTTGGTAAGAAACAGAAGATGTTATAATGAGAACGGGATGTAGGTTTCAGTTTAAATTAAGATTATAAATTACTCAAATATAGCAAAAATAACTTTGTTCTAAGATAAAGGACAATGGCCTGGGACAATATGGCAAAGGCCAAATGATAGATAACCTGATGTGTTTAAATGACCTGTAATGATCAAGGGTAGAAAGCTCTCAGATTTTAATAACCTGCCATGTTCTTTTTCCTTTTCTTTTTTGGTACTGGGAATCGAACTCATTCATAACGTTGTGCTTGCTAGGCAGATGCTGTGCCACTGAGCTAAATCCCCAGCCCATCTGCCATTTTCTTAATCTAAAAAGATAGAAGGAGCATTTAATTTAAAATGATTTAAAATGCACCAATAAAATCTAACTGAAGAAAAGAGTTTCAAAAAATGGTACGATTCAAGTTGGGTAACATCTTAATTTAGTTATCTAAAAGACTAATAAAATTTTAAAAAATATTAGCAAGATCTTAAGATGCAAAATATACTGTCAGTGGAATTATAAATTGTTACCACCATACTCCAGAAATCAATTTGGCATTAAAGATATTTGTATCTTTATCATGGTGAATTGTCTTTTAGAAATGTAACCTAAAAAAATAACCCGAAGCCCCATGTGGTGGCACCCACTTTTAATTCCAGCACTTGGAAAGCTGAGGCAGGAGACTCTCTGTAAACCTGGGGCCAGCCTGGGCTACATAGTGAACTCAAGGACAGCCTGAACTACATAGCCAGAGCCAGTCCCAAAAAAACCAAATCTCTACAACAAAAAAAATCTGAAATGTGGATGAAAATTTATGCATAAACAAGTCACTGAAACTTCATTCACAAAAGTATTTACTCACAACACTACAAGGATGGTTAAGTAGGTTACAGCATCTCAACAGAACATTAAGACAACTAGTAAAAGAAATTTGCAAATAACATAAAAAGTACAAAATTACTTAACCATGATCTCCACTTTCCTTAAAGAAAGAAATTTATAATCTGATATGACCTTTAAGAATCTAATCTGACAGGTTATAAAAAGGGTCTTTAGAAATATTCCTACCCCACCTGCAGGTCAGCTGACCCAATAATTTTACTTCTAGAAATTTTACTGCGTTCTAGAAGAAAATGGTTTGCTGGTCATGGTGGCACATGTCTGTAACCCCAGTACTCAGGAGGCTGAGGCAGGAGGAATGCCGAGTTCAAAGCCATGCTAAAAAATTAATCAAGTATTCTGCAGCACTGTTACGGAAAGAGAATTTTAAAGACAATTCTTTCACAATATTTTTAAAAACAGAGCCTATTTTTCAGTAATGGATAAAGACTGCTGGGGCTGGGGATTTAGCTAAGCGGCATAAGCACCTGCCTTGCAAGCAGGCAGTCGTGAGTTCGATTCCCGGTACCAATAAAAAAGAAAAAGACAAAAAAAAAAAAAAGACTGCTAAGTAAATACTTCAAACCAGGTTATAACATGGAATACCACTGGAATTTCTTTCTTCCTTTCTTTCTTTTTTTTAATCAGTACCGGGGATCGAGCTCGCGATAGTGTGCTTGCAAGGCAGGCACTTATGCTACTAAGCTAAACTCCCATCCCCTGGAATTTATTTCTTCTATTAGAATTTTTGATTGGTCCATTCTTACAAGTTGAGGTAAAAATAAAAAAAAAAAAAAGAATTTTTGCTTGGTATTACCTAGGTATTTTATGAGAGAAGTTTAGGTTCATTAATCACATTTTCTTGAATACATTTCAATCTTCTCTATAATTCAGGTCTGTAAAATCCCCAATCCTTTTTACTTTAGTTTTTAAGTCTTCCATGTTTCTTATTATTGTCTCATATTAACATCTTTATACTTCATTATTGCATTGTTGTTTTGA